CAGTAGACACTTAAAAATCGCTTTCTTTTGACTGGCTCGTGCCCTTTGGACTTTTTTTTTTTAATAGTATGACTTGGTATACTTGGAAAGTTATTGCTGAATATATCTGCCTGAGGGAAGCATGTCAGTGTTAATGAAGTGGGAGCATGTTGTTCCTAGCCTAGGGAAAAGCCAGTTATGATTCTTGGCTTGTCTTTGGGATTCTGTAGAGGTATAAGTTGAGTCATGTGCAGGGGCTTCTCCCCTCAAGGTTTAAGGAAGGGGTTTTTTCTTGGAAGTGAAAAGAGGGTGGGAACTAAGGCAGGGAATGGCAGGGACTTCCCCAGTAAGAGATGAGATTAATAAGTATCTTCAGTCTCGCTCTGTTTGCCAAGTTTAAAAAGAATTATTAATATAACTTTTGGCACTTGTTACACTGTAGAACAATTGCAGTGTGAAAAAAAATGTGAGTGTTAGGTTTCTAGTACTGTAGTTGATATCTGATGCAATATGTAAAGTTTTTCTGTAACTTAATTCATTCTGGTATGCCATGCTTCCCTAGTAATATCTATATTTCAAAACCCTGTGCTTTTGTTAAATTATCTGTCTTTTCAGTCTATTTCCTGCATATGTGTGAGGGCGTTTTTTACTATTGACTCTTGACTATTTGTGGCTCCTTGAAGAAGAGGTCCAAAAATGTGGTTGTCAGCAGTCGTATGTGTTTTGCAGCATAGTTGCTGTTAGCCTTCTCTGGAGCCTGGGGGACTTTCTTAGACCTCACCTTGAGCAGAGGGGCTCAGAAGGCTATTGATGCCTCTTGTGTGAGATATTTGGTTAAAAGTGAGGCTAGAGGCCAGATTTCCACACAGTTTTACTAGGCTTCAGTCTCTTTATATGCTGCATGATGTCACACAATTATCCACATAATTTATGCCTGTGGAAGGCTGATGATGTCAATGGCAAGGAGCAGTTTTCAGTAATTAAAGAGTTTTTTGTTTTCTGTGGCTGCCAGATCTTCAGTACTTTAAAAGGGATTGTACGGAAGCCAGAAAAGCTGTAGGACAGAAGCAGGAAGTTTTCAGCTAGTGCATATCATTCCCTGGTGGTCACATCATCACCCTTTTGCAAGCATAAGTTATACATCAGGATTTCTGCTAATAGGCCCTACTCCTCAGGGAAATGCAGTCAACTGCGAAGGCAACTCTTGGCTGCTCATGAAGGCCCACCAAAGGACTACTGTTTAGCCCCTGAGCAGTCACAAGTTCCCTCAAATACATAAAGTGTATACATGGTATAAGACTTTAAAGATGAGAAGCCTACTGTGATGTTTTATTGTTCAGTGAAATAGGCTTTGTTTTATGCAGTTGTTGGAGGGGCAGGTTTGAAACTGGAGGAATCCTGATGTGGAACTTGCACATGTGCCTTTTTGGACCATAAACTTAAGACGTCAGGGAAATTGTTCTAAACATTATTGGGAGAACGTGGTTTGAATAAAGTCTGAATGATGCGTGAAGGCGTGAACAAGCCAGTGTTGTTTTCTTGTGTTGTACAACAGGGAAGAACGGTAATTATTGAACAGAGCTGGGGAAGCCCTAAGGTGACTAAAGATGGTGTGACAGTAGCCAAGGCCATTGACTTGAAGGACAAATACAAAAACATTGGGGCCAAACTGGTTCAAGATGTTGCCAACAATACAAACGAAGAGGCAGGAGATGGCACTACCACTGCAACAGTATTGGCACGTTCCATCGCCAAGGAGGGGTTTGAAAAGATCAGTAAAGGAGCAAATCCAGTAGAAATCAGAAGAGGTAAGAGCCTTTATGCTAAGCCGTTGGTTTGAAGAATTTTGTGTAAGCAGGTGTACTCTTCAATCTTTGGTGAAGTTTTTTCCAGCATGGTTCCCATTAGATGGTTTTAGACGGTTCTTTATATAAATTATGGTGGCTGGAGCTGCTGGAACGTGTCATGGACAGCGTTGGGGGAGGACATGTCAGTGATTGCATAGTAATCACACATTACATTTGATCATTAGTTCAGAGTTTTGGAGCCGCAACCTGTGTTTGGCAAGGAAAGGCTTCTACTTGTGTGGTGGTTCCTGTTTTTAAAAGCTCCTTGCACATACCCCCTGAGCTAGATATCCCCTCAAACATCCAGGCCATATTTGAGGGACTTTTGAAGGAAATCCCATTTTACTAGGCACAGCTCATTCCACTGGCTGATGGGAGCAGTTGATTAAACTTTTATTTCCTTGAATGCAGCTGTGAAGTACTCTAGTGGTGATCTAAGGTTTGAATGATACTTGATCTCAGCCAAACAGTTAAGTAGGAAATCCAGTCTTAATGTGTTGTAACCAGCTCAGTGCTGGGCAGTGAAAATGCAACATGGAATTATAATGCCTAAATGCATTTGTGGCTTTGCATCTTGAATCTGTTGTTTGTAAAAGCAGAGATGAAATGTCAACTATGGCCACAAAGGTAATGGTTTTCTGGCTGGCCAAGTATGTTAGTGGAATGTAATGTAGGATAAATTGTGTGATACTGTGGTAGTTGGTTGCTGTCTTTTTCCTGACATATGCTTCAATAGAGGAAAGTTAGCTGTTATTAATATTGCTGAGCTTTCCTAAAAGAGAAGAACTTTTATTGTCATTTAGTGATTTTGTCTGTAGCAATGAATATGATTGCCTCTGATGCAAGGTTTTTTTTTTACTATGTCACTTTAAGTAACTTAAATGATGCTCTTATAATTTATTGTGTATTGTGTGAATGTTTCATCTCTTCAGGGGTGATGTTAGCTGTAGATGCTGCTATTACAGAACTGAAGAAATTATCCAAACCAGTCACAACACCTGAAGAAATAGCCCAGGTAATTCTGGCTTGTTCCTAATTAGCTAAGTTTGTAGTGTGCTGTCTGTGAGCCAGCCTAACTTTTTAAAGCTATTTTTTCTTTTTTAAATAATTTGTTAGCTTTTATAGGATTGATGCATATTGATTTGTCTGTTGTTTCCTCTAGGTTGCTACAATATCAGCAAATGGAGATAAGGAAATTGGTAACATAATCTCTGATGCCATGAAAAAAGTGGGACGAAAAGGTGTAATCACAGTTAAGGTAAGGGCCAAGTGTTCTCAAGAGACAGGAAAAGAAGTACACTGAAGAATCTGAATTCCTTTTTATGGTACAAAAAGTTATAGCTATGTTCCTACAAGGTTATGCTCAAAATCCTCAAAGGTAGGCTTCAGCAGTACTGTATGTGGACCAAGAACTCCCAGAAGTACAAGATGGATTTTGAAGGGGCAGAGGAACTGGAGACCAAATTGCTAACATGCACTAGATTATGGAGCAAGCCAGAGAATTCCACAAAAGCATCTATTTCTGCTTTATTGACTACACAAAAGCATTTCACCGTGTGGACCACCTTATCTACCTGTCCGACCACCTTATCTACCTCCTGAGAAATCTATATGTGGGACAGGAAGCAACAGTTAGAACTGCATATGGAACAACTGATTGATTCAAAATTGGGAAAGGAGTACGACAAGGCTGTATATTGTCCCCCTGCTTATTTAACTTGTATGCAGAATACATCATGCGAAAGGCAGGAATGGATGAATCCCAAACCAGAATTAAGATTGCCGGAAGAAATATCAGCAACCTCAGATACGCAGATGATACCACTCTGATGGCAGAAAGTGAGGAGGAATTAAAGAACCTCTTAATGAGGGTGAAAGAGGAGAGTGCAAAAATGGTCTGAAACTCAACATCAAAAAAACTAAGATCATGGCCAGTGGTCCCATCACCTCCTGGCACAGTAGCGATGTATAGAAAGAGCTGGACCATAAAGAAGGCTGACCGTCGAAGAATTGATGCGTTTGAATTTGGTGCTGGAGGAGACTCTTTTGAGAGTCCCCTGGACTGCAAGGAAAAGAAACCTATCCATTTTGAAGGAAATCAACCCTGAGTGATCACTGGAAGAACAGATCCTGATTCTGAGGCCCCAATACTTTGGCCATCTCATGAGAAGAGAAGAATCCTTGGAAAAGACCCTGATGTTGGGAAAGTGTGAAGGCAAGAGGAGAAGGGGACGACAGAGGATGAGATGGTTGGACAGTGTCATCAAAGCCACCAACATGAATTTGACCAAACTCTGGGATGTAGTGGAAGACAGGAGGGCCTGGCGTGCTCTGGTCCATGGGGTCAAGAAGAGTCAGAATGACTTAATGACTAAACAACAATAACAATGTTCATACAGCAAGGAATGGTCTGTTGAAGTTAAAATCTTGCCATTTCTGGGCTATAGTAATAATGTTTAGATCCCATGGAAATTGTATTTCTTACCCCATTTTCTCTCAGGTGAACAAATCCTTCATGATCAAATGTGCAAGAAATCAAGCATATAAGTAAACTGCTGTTTGTTTTAGAGTGCAATTATGAAAGCATCACATTAAAATAAAAATTCATTCATTCAGTGAAGCCTCTCTGTGTGTGTTCAGTCGTTTAGTCGTGTCCGACTCTTCGTGACCCCATGGACCAGAGCACACCAGGCCCTCCTATCTTCCACCGCCTCCCGGAGTTGTGTCAAATTCATGTTGGTTGCTTC